GTGGAGAGAGAAACAAAAGTCAAATGTTTCACTCTTAAAAACATCGATTTCTGATTTGTGGTGGAAGGGCAGCAACCTGAAACATTAACTCTGTCTCTCTCTATCTAACTATCTCTGTGTCTGTCTCTCACCGAGACCTGCTGAGGTTTTTCTCTGATGCTTTCCGACTTTAAGCCTAGAAACAGACCTGCCTTACCTTCATTTCACTAGTCAAATGCAGTCCTGCCTGGTTTTGCATGCTCTGTTTTAGAATGAGTTGATTTGGAAATTTGTACCATTTTGCATCTTGAGCAGCTGTGCGCAAGTGGATCAGAATCAATAAATTCAAAAGAAAAATTAACAATTGTCCTAAAGTGAAATTTACAATGTTATGGGAAAAAGGTGAGAGTGGGATTAAGTGAATTACTAGCACTCCCAGACAGAACGGGCTAAATGGTCACATTCTGTGCTGGGCACACCACAAATAATAAAGCCATAATCTGGTCAGTCGTGGTCTTATCGGTGTGCAGAGTCCGCTCAAAGGGCCGAATGGCCTACTCTTTCTTGTGTGCATTTGTGTGTAATTTGTCAAGTAATTATATTCTAATTTGTTGGATGTTAATGATGTGTGTGAATCAGTGTTGGTGCCCATCCAGCTTTTCCCAAGGGCATAGCATCCGTCACAAAGTCAAGTGAACACAGAATAGCGGTGCAAGACTATGCATTGCATCAGCAAGCCCAATTTGTTCCCTGGCCACTTTGTTGCTTTTTCATTTTGGTTCCATGCAATTTCATTTTCGTTCTGGTGCCAACCAGCACAACTTGGCATGATAGGAATTGAACTGATTTCTAGATTCTGATCAGATAGTCATAATTTTAAGGCTGCAGTGTAACACTACAGTGCAAAGGCAGGTTCTCCTTTCTGCTTCACCTTGAGAGTGTGTCAGGATCTCACACTCAGAGAGAGAGAGAGAGAGAGAGATGTCTCCTGATAGGACAACGCTTATATTGGATTCAGTGCTGGTCCGTTATTCCACATGACAGCAGTTTTGGAAAAGGAAGAGTGTAATAGTTGCATTCACCTTGAAAAGAGAATGTTTATGAAGTTTTATAAAATGGACCCGGAAGGAGCATGTTAGTTTAAGTTTATTGCATGGTTTGGGAAGCCATCTGGCACCCTCGCGGTTCATTAGTATCATTCTTGTAACCCTTTTCTGATGTGTAACGTTAGCCTGAGAATCACTTGAACAAGGTTGTAAAAAAATTTGTAATTTGTTCTTTGTGGATTTTAATAAACATGGTCAGTTTATTTTGCTTTGCAGACGTAAATCATCCCAATGAGGGAACAGCTTTAACAGGTTACTAACTAACTGTTGATCAAAATGCCAGAAGACAATAATCGCCAACAAAGGAGAACCTAATATTTTCTAACCAACCTGTCCGGTGATGTTAATGCACACCTCTGGAGCATGTGGAACTTGAACCCACGTCTGCTGGCTCAGAGATAGGAACACTACCATAGTGCCAAAAGAATCCTGTTCAAATCATACCCTCTGACAATTCTTGTGGCACTACCATTGCTGAAGTGGAGCTGAGTCCACGAAAAGATCAGCCACGATCTTATTGAATGGTGGAGCTCATGGGCCAGACAGCTTACTCCTGCTCCTATTTCACATGTTCTTATGAATCCCTCAATCCAGTATTGAACTCTTCTCTGCCCCAGCCCCATGTCTCCCTGTGTCAGGGGAAAATGGACAAATCGGCTCTAACTTGTAGAATGTGAGCTTAGTTGGCAAGCCACCATTTACTGCTCATTTGACGTTTTTGTTTAATTGATGCATCGGGTGTGGGATCACTAATAAGTCCAGCATTTGTTGTCCATCCCTAATCTTGAACTGAGTGGCTTGCTAGGCAGTTTCAGGAGGCACTTAAGAATCAACCGCATTGCTGTTGATCTGGAATCATATGTTGACCAGACCATGTAAGGACGGCAGAGTTCTCTCCTTAAAGGATGTGAATGAGCCAGATGGTATAATTCATGGTAATTTTGTAGTGCCATCACACAGCCTAGCTCTCTGTTCCAGTTTGATTAATTCAGTATGTTCATCAGTTGAATATTAAATTTCACCAGCTGCTGTAATAGGATTGAATCCATGTCCCCAGAGTACTGGCCCGAGTCTTTGCATTTTTGGTCCAGTGATGTTACGACTGTGTCGCTGCTTTCCCTTGTAACTGTCCTTGAGAAAGTGATGATGAGCCACAGCTTTGAACTTCAGCTCAAAGAATTAAAAAAAAAAAAAAAATTTGACCCCATGACAGTGAAGGAACAGCGATTTATAGGATATGTGACTTAGAGCACTGATGGTATTTCTGTATATCATTGAGTTTTCTGTTCTCCATGTTGGATTTTGAGAGTTTGGAAGGTCCTGTCAAAGGAGACTTGGGGAGTTGATGCACTGGATCTTCTTGCTGATACTGTGCACCAGCGATGGGCTCTTTAAAAATTCATCGTGGGATACGTTCATTCCTGGCTGGGTCAGCGTTATTTTGCCCATCCTTAATTATCCATGAGAAGGTGCTGCTGAGCTGCTGCCTGGAACTGCTGCAGTCCTTTGGGTGTGGAGACATCCACAATGCTGTTGGAAAGGGAGTTCTGTGGGTTTCATCCAGTGACAGTACAGTTCCAAGCCAGGCTGGCGTGAGACTTGGAAAGGAACTTGCAGGTAGTGGTGTTTCCCTGCATCTGCTGCTCCTGCCCTTCTGAGCGGTAGAGTTCATGGGTTTGGGTGCTAGCAAAGAAAACTTGTTGAGTTATTACAGTGCATCTTGCAGAAGGTACGTTACCGCCACTGTGGTGGTGAAGGAAGTGAATGCTGAAGGTAGTGAATAGGGTGATAATGAAGTGGGCTGCTTTGTCCTGAATAGTGTCATGCTTCTCAAACAAAAAGCGTGTATTCCATCTCACTTCTGACTTGTGCCTCATCGATGGTGGAAATGCTCTGGGGAGTCAGGAGGTGAGTTACTCACTGCAGGATTCTTCGTCTCTGACCTGCTTTTGTAGTCACAGTATTTATATGGCTAGTCCAGTTCCACTTATGGTCAGTGGTAACCCCCAGGATGTGATTGTGGTGGATTCAGTAATGGTAATGCCATTGGATATGAGGAGCAATGGATAGAAATTTTTCTTACTAGAGATGGTTGTTGCCTGGCACTTGTTTGGCACAAATATTACTTGCCACTTGTTGGCCCAAGCTTGGATGCTGTCCCGTTCTTACTGCAAATGGATGTGAACTGCTTCAGTATCAGATGAGTCACAAATAGTCCTGAACATTGTGCAAACATCCCCTGTCACTTATTCTGACCTTATGATGACAGAATGGTCATTGGTGAAGTAGCTGAAGATGGTTAGGTCTAGCACACTACGCTGGGGAACTCCAGCAGAGATGTCCTGGAGCTGAGGTGATTGACCTCCAACAATCACAATCATTTTCCTTAGTGGCAGATATCACTCCAACAAGTGGAGAGTTTTCCCCTCATTCCCATTGACTCCAGTTTTGCTGGAACTCCTTGATGCCCTACTTGGTCAAATGCTCCCTTGGTATCAAGGGCAGTCACTCTCCCCTTGCCTCCGGAGTTCACTGCTTTGTCTGTGTTTAACCAAAGGCTGTAATGAGGTCAGGAACTGAGTGGCAGCCGTGCCCTTTAGGACTTTGCTGATTTGGTCAGGAGAGGGACCACCAAATCATTAGGTGACAGACATCCTCCAGGGTATATTCTGTGCCCTTTCCACTTTCAGTGCTTCCTCCACCTAAATGGTGCTCAACATTGAAGACTGATTCATCAGCTGAGACTTGGGGATGGGTGGCAGTGGTTGGTTTGTTGGGGGTGGGGGGGATGCGAGTGCGGGGTGCGGAATTGACAGATGCTAATCGGATCTCTTTGCCAGTGTTTAACCTAATGCCATGAGACTCCATTGCATCCAGAATCTATTTTATAGACTGCCAGAGCAGCAACTTCGAAACTGGTGTACTGTATCACCACCCTGGGTTTGCCCTGCCAGTGGGACAGGACCTACCCAGGGATGATGATGATTAGTGTTACCTGAACATAGCCATATACACTTAAACATACCTTTATAGACAACATGAGGCTATTGATTAACTAATCTGTGGGACAACTGTCCCAATTTTAGCATTGGCTCATAAATGTTGGTAAAGAGACTTTTTCCTAGGGTGGAGGTAGCTATTACGAGGTGGCATAGTTTTAAAGTGAGTGGAGGTAGAGAGAAGGGAGATGTCAGAGGTAGGTTCTTTACTCAATCAGTGGTAGGGATGTGGAATGCATTGCCGGAGAGGGTAGTGGAGTCGGCCTCATTGGGGCATTTAAGCAGCTATTAGAAAGGCATTTGGATGATAGTATAAGGTAGGGGTGGAGGTTAGATAGACCTTCGGTTTAGGGTAAAAGTTCAGCACAACATCGTGGGCCGAAGGGCCTGTACTGTACTGTTCTATGTTCTAGGACTTCGCGGGGTCAAAGGTACTGTGGTTGCTTTTGTCTTTTTCAGTGTCTCAGTTGATGTCAAGTTGTCCAACTGGTTTCCTTTCCTTATGTTTTGTTGTAGTTTGATACAACCGTGTCTTGCTGGGGCACTGCAGAGGGCAGAGTGAATATTTGGGCTGGTGGACAGGGTTCTAGTGCATTGAGCTGCTTTGCCCTGGAAGGTGTTAAGCTGCTCGTGTTGATGGAACTACGTGCTCTGCTATCAAACTCCCGATTCGTGCCTTGCAGATGGTGAACAGGCTTTGGGAAGTCAGGAAGAGAGTTACAAATTTGAGAATCCCTTCTGTCTGACCGGCTGAAGTAGCTGCAGTATCTATACAGCTGCTGATTACTTTACTTTTCCTATAAACCCTGTCAGAAAAATAAATGTTTGTGGATGAGATAGTAGGAACTGCAGATGCTGGAGAATCTGAGATAACAAGGTGTAGAGCTGGATGAACATAGCAGGCCGAGCAGGAAGGCTGACGTTTCGGGCCTAGACCCTTCTTTCTGAAGAAATCTCAAATGTTTGTGGATGTTTGGGTTAGGAGGAGGGCATGGTACAGTAGTTTGCTGTTGTGATTTGAATGAGTTATGACCTTCTTCAGTAGTCATCTTGTGAGGAGTAAATTGGTGTCAGAGGACTGTGTGGTACACATGGGCCTGTATAGCTGGGGGATATCTCTGTGATGCTGCCTTAGCTCTGGTAAGTTGACTTTTCATCCCCTTTTAACTTGTGTGTCTTTCCCACAACAGCTGTCTTGTGCAGAATGATCTTGACAGGAAATGCCACCAGGCAATTTGTTCACTTCAGTCTGAGGGACTTCCAGCACTGGAGTGAGAAACTATTTCCTTCTAAGGGAAAATCTTGCTTGCTCCAGGACAGATTATGTTCCTCACCTTTTTACTATTTACAAAGAATCTGAGTGGTTTCTCATCAAACTTTTATTTTAGCGTGAAGCACCTGGTGGTCTTCAAATTGAAGAAAAACTAGGTCCTTGCCCCGCCCCCCCAACCTATCGTCATCGTCATCGTCATCGTCAATGAGATAAGTAAATGATTTCTTTATACTCATTCACAAGAATGTGGATGTCACTGGCGAGGCAGCATTTATTGCCCATCCCTAATTGCCCAGAGGGCAGTTAAGAGTCAACCACATTGCTGTGGGTCTGAAGTCACATGTAGGCCTAACCAGGACAGCAAATTTTCTTCCTTAAAAGACATTAGTGAACCAGATGGGTGCTTTCTGACAATTGTTTCATTAGACTCCAGATTTATCTTTTAATTCACTTCAGCTGTGGCAGGATTTGAACCGAGGTCCCTAGAACATTACCTGAGATTCTGGATTAAATCAGTCTTTCCAACAGGCCAACCTTTTGAAGCCAATACCTTGCCATTTTTATTTTTATTGTTGATTTACTTCGTTATTGGTAGCGCCCTGGTCAATATTTCCTCCGCTTACTGATGCCTGCAATAGGCCTCAGTCAAGCAGCTCCAATATGGACTGACCAGAAGGAATGCAGAGAGTGAAATTCTGAAACTCGACACCAAGGGAGCTGTTGGCATGGCTGAGAATTTTGCATTTCCAAATTGCTTTGTTTTGTGGTAATTTAGGACTGGGGCAACTGGAGAGGGGATCCCCAAGTATAACATAGAGCCTGTCCCAACGGCACAGTGCACACTGGAAATGTGAAAACAGCACTTGAGATGAACACAGCGGTGGTCAGGCAGCCTCAGTGGAGAAGGTTGGGAGAGCTGATGCTCACAGTAGAGAGTTGTACAGATATCCTCCCTGCCCCCTGGATGCTCACATGTTCCTGCCACAGCAATTTCTCGTTAATCACCGAACCTCATTTCTGATCTTAGCTGCCAGCCCCTGTGTGCCCCAGGCAGAGTAGGGAATGGCCTCACCGCACGCATATTTTCATACAAGCCGTGCCGTTGGTTACCAGTTCGGCTGGTTCGACGAGAAAACCCCAAGCTGAGCAAAACGAGACAGCAAATGAAGGAGGCCCATTTTCACTGTTCTCCCTACAGTACAAGAAGTCAACACCTCTCCTTCCGAGCTGCGATCTACTGCTGCTGCCGCTGGGGGTAAAATTATCCGCTTCAAGTTTGTGCTTATTTTAAAACTTTTTTTTTTAACTTTTGTTGGAGAGGCAGTTGCTTTACTTAACTTTTTGGGGGATTCTGGTCACCGGTAAATCAACCTCCCCCCTCCCTTCGCCTGACTGTATGAAAAGTTTTCTGGAATTTAATATGTTATGGTATGTTATGTGGGGTCTGAGTTGAGGTGGTTCAGGATGGTCTGCTGCGAGACTCACTGGTATTTATAGTTCTGTCTGGTGAGCGTATCACTCCCTCCCCACCAAAAAAACCGATGAAGCTGATTATTTGCCTGTCTGCTTGGCTCTGTTGATGGTTGCCAGTCTTCAAAAAAATGACATGAAAACAGAACATTCTGGAGCAAATCGTAAGGTCACGCAGCTTCTGTGGAGAGAGGAAACAGAATTAACGTTTCCATTGCGGTACAACCTTTTTTCTTCTCGAAAATGACCTGTTGTTGATTTTTACTGATTAGTTGTGGTATCTGTCCATCCCCTCCCCCACCCTACCTTGTTGCAGAAATTGGAAGGAAGGTGGTAAAGAGGCACAGCAAACTATTCTAGTCACCAAAAGCCTCAGCTGTGAACGTAGGCTGCAGAACTCAGGGCTGTGCAGTGTTGGTGAGTGCCCCTACCCCTGAACCAGGAGGCCTGAGTTCAAGTCCCACCTGCTCCAGAGTTGTGTGATAGCAACTCTGAACAGGTTGCTAAAAATGCTTTGTTTTAACCTCCGAAGGCTAAGCGGAGTTTTGACAGGAGATGTCAAAATCTGGACAGAGTAGGTAGGGAGAAAAAAAAATCAGAATATGAGTATGCAAGAAATGGAGGGAAATGGACCCCAAGGGCAGGCAGAAGGGATTAGTTTAATTTGATGTAGCGTTCAACACAATATTGTGGCTCAAAGGGGCCATTCCTGTACTGTACAGTTCTATGTTCAGAAATTGCTGGAAAACTCAGCAGGTCTCACGACATCTGTGGAGAGAAATCACGTTTTGGGTCGAGTGACTCTACCTCAGAACTGTTTCTGATTTACAGCGTCCACAGTTCTGTTCTTTTGGCTTTTATTTAGGTAGGGAGAAAGGTGCTTGTTTTTGCATAATCGATGGGCCAAATGGCCTATTTCTGTGTTGTACACTTCTATGACTCAGAAAAGGATCCCGAATGAGAGAGCACAGATGCAGGGTAATTTGATGTGAGAAGAAACATTAGGGTATGGAGTGCACTGTTTGGAAATATAGTGGAGACAGCTTCGACTGAGGCATTCACCAGAATATTGGATGACTATTTAAATGGAAACAAGTAAAAAATTGCTTGAATGGTGACAAAGTCGAAACTTTTAATCTTGCCCATGTCAGAAATTAGGACGCAGGAAACAGATTAGGAAAAAAAGGTCACCAAATCTGTTTCTTGTAGACATCCAAAACTAAGACACAACAAAAAGCTTTGACAACTTGTCTCTTTTTTTTCACAACACTGAAGTTCCGTACTACCGAGAACAGCATTCAGAGCTCAAAGGGAAAAGGTAGGAGAATGATGCTAAGTCATAATGCTCATTCAGAGAGCCAGTCCAGATGTGATGGGCTGAATGGCCTCCTTCTGCGCTCCAGCAGCTCTCTGGTGGACTTGCACGTGTAAATTAGACTGCATGTGAATGAGCATCCTTTTCATTTGTATTTGAGACCTTTTTCTGGCCCACTTCATTGTGTTTCCTCCACTCACCTGGATTCCTTTCTGAAAGGTTATCAGTCCTCTGCTGGTCCATAGGAGGGTAGCAGAGAGAAGGTGCAAACTCTGTGAGCTGTTTTTTGTTTTAATATGAGATTGACTGACTGACTGACTGACTGACTATGGATCATGAAGAAAACTACTCTCTAAAGTTAGCTGAAGCTCCTTGATGCTCATCAGTTTGCAATAGAACGGCAAACACTAAGAGTTGGCTCTGATCTGGTCCCTGAATCCAACATTGCCTGACAATTCAATCTCTTGGGAGGATTTTGGAAAATATGCTGTAGCCCTTGGCTTTGGAGATCTCCCAGGAGAAGGGTTTAACATAGGTGCATTTCACAGGAGCATTAGTGAGCAAAGTACACCACCAAGCCCCTTTAAAGGGATATTTGGACAGGATTTTAAGGAGCAGAAGGGGGAATGATGGAGAAGTTTATGCAGGGAATTAAGGAGCCTGGAGTTGAGGCAGCTGGAAGCATAGCTGCCAGTAGTGAAGTCACAAAAGTTGGAGATGCAAACAAGATTTGGAGGGGCAGATCCATTATTTGGGCTGGAAGAGATTGCTGGAACAGGGGAGGGTGGCATACCGTTAAAAGGGAGCAGTCTTCCTTTAGATCAAATTGTGTTGATCCTGTTGTCTTCTGAATTTTAAGACTTATACTTCATCACACATAGATAAATGCCTTTCTTCAAAGTATTAATGTACCAAACTTGCTGTTGGGTATGCTTTGGTTCACGTTCAAATGCATTATTACTGTCAGTTATTAATAATAACCACTGAAAAGCACTGATAAATCACTTTACTTTGCTGTCAAAGTGTTAAATAATTGAAGGAGGGGTTAAAATGCCCTAGGGGAACTTGTTGAAAATAATTTTGCAGAATTGCCAACTTCAAGTTCGTTACATTTAATTATCTGGGAAACCAGCCTGCCAGACACTAAGGATCAGAGCAAGCTTCTGGCATATCCAGCTCGGTTTTAGATTAAATATTTAACTTGTTGCATTTTCATGTCATTTTTTTTTAGAAAAAAGACATGTTACTTGTGCCCACATGTCAACTTTTCTGTGAGTATTCTTTGTGTTCTTCCTCTGCCCCATTTAGTACATTATAAATCATGGGATGATTGCTGAGATATAGTATCAGTGCACCCAGGTGCCAAGATATCGCACAAAGATGCGATAACTAACTTCACTACCATGTCGAAGAGTTGAGATTTGCATTGAAATGCGGAGTAAAAGGTACTGCGTGGGTGTATGTGTATGTAGGCTTTTAATGTGTACACGCCTCTGTCCCCAGGATAGTTATCCATTTTTTATATAGATTCATGGTATCATATGTATGTGTGGTGCAGTGGAATGTCACTGGACTAGTAATCCCAGAGGCCCAGGCCGATGTTCTGGAGGCACTGGTTCACTTCCTATAAATGAAATTAATTGAATATGGAATTGACAGCTATTCTGAGTAATGATGGCCACAACATTACGGTATTAAAAACCCCGAGGAAGGGTCACTGGACCCGAAATGTTAATTCTGATTTCTCTCCACGGATGCTGCCAGACCTGCTGAGCTATTCTGGCAATTTCTGTTATTGTTGAAAAAACCCATCCAGTTCAGGGGAGGAATTCTTGCCTGGTCTGTTTATGACTCCAGACCCACAGCAATATGGTTGGCTGCCCTCTGAAGTGGCCCAGCAAGCCGAGCAATCAGGAATGGCTTAAAAACTACTGGCTTTGTCAATGACTCACAGACCCCACATCTCTGAATGTGCAGTGATGTGAAACTATGGAAGCCCTGACTCAGTGGATAACTCTCTCTTTCTTAGTCAGAAGTTTGTGCTTTCACATTCCACTCTGGAGACTTGAGAAAGGCAACCAG